CTGTGGTGGAATTCTGCAATCTACTGATTTTGACTGCAGGGTGTCCACCCACCATGCTCAAAATTTTTGGGATCAATATTTTTCATTTATAATCATTCTTTTCATGTTCCAAACTTGCACTCTGTGTGTTCACTTTTCACTCAAACAAAAAATTAAAGTTTTCAATAAAAGTTCATTTTCTTTTATCTTTTTCACAAATTTTTAAATCTTGATTTTTATTATTATTTTTTCATATTCATTCTTTGAAACCCATTTTCCACCATTCCACAAACTTTTGTGACTCAAAGTTTTTGGGTTCCCACTGTGGAGCTCAAAACAGATGGTTATAAACATCTGGGAGGAGACTGTACATACCAGCTTGTTGGAAGGGATCCCTTCCAATGAGCTGGTATGTACACCAGCTCATTGGAAGGGATCCCTTCCAACAAGCTGGTATGTACAGTCTCCTCCCAGATGTTTATAACCATCTGTTTTGAGCTCCACAGTGGGAACCCAAAAACTTTGAGTCACAAAAGTTTGTGGAATGGTGGAAAATGGGTTTCAAAGAATGAATATGAAAAAATAATAATAAAAATCAAGATTTAAAAATTTGTGAAAAAGATAAAAGAAAATGAACTTTTATTGAAAACTTTAATTTTTTGTTTGAGTGAAAAGTGAACACACAGAGTGCAAGTTTGGAACATGAAAAGAATGATTATAAATGAAAAATATTGATCCCAAAAAATTTTGAGCATGGTGGGTGGACACCCTGCAGTCAAAATCAGTAGATTGCAGTACCAGAATGCCAAATTTCTTGATGAATGACCCCCTAGGTACCCTTTTTAAACCACCAAGTAGTCATTTTTTTTCCAAATTTTCACTTCTTATTATTCATTCCAGATCTCATACTATCAATTTGGAGATTCCATCTTTTCCTGAAAGAAATATTAGAGCTGTCAGTTTTTGTGATATTCTCCTTTTTACTTTTTACAAATTTTATAATCTTGTTGATCATTATTATTTTTTCATATTCATTCTTTGAGACCCATTTTCCACCATTCCACCAACTCTTGTGACTTGAAATTTTTGGGTTCCAGGTGTGGAGCTCAAAACAGATGGCTATAAACATCTGGGAGGAGACTGTACACCAGCTCATTGGAAGGGATCCCTTCCAACGAGCTGGTATATACACCAGCTCGCCGGAGGGACCATAAATTTTTAAACCACTCATTTTGTAAGAAATGAATTTAAAATTCCCAAAAATAATGAACAATAAGCCTGTAAGAATTAATTAAAAAAAACATGTTGAATGCAATATTCAAGAAAAAGTTTTCATTTTGAGGCAAAATGGTTTTTACCATAATTTTCTACATGTCTCAAAGTGTAGGAAAAAATTCAAAATGTCAAAAAATAATGAAAATTAAGCTG